ATACTCTGAAAAATACGGTAAGTGCTAGTCATTCCTGACTCTAGGGGTTGATGCTCATCTCTGTTTCAAAGCCAAAGAGCCATTGCTGTCCGAAGAAGTCTCTGTGATCATGTGGCCAGCATGACTAAATGCTGAAGGTGCACAGAACACTGTTACCTTCCCACCAAAGGTGGTTCCTATTTTTCTACTTGCATTTTTACATGCTTTTGAACTGCTAGGTTGGCAGAAGCTGGGACAAGTAATGAGAGCTCACTCCGTTATGCGGCGCTAAGGATTCGAACCGCCGAACTGTCGACGCTTCTGATCGACAAGCTCAGCATCTTAGTCCCTGACTCACCGCTTGGTTTCTCAACCTTAGCTACTTTCAAATAAGTGGGCTTCAACTCCCAGAATTCCCCAGCCAGCATAGCATACCTGGCTGGGGAATTCTGGAAGTTGAAGTCCATATGCCTTAAATTTGCTAAGGTTGAGAAACACAGATTTAGACCGTCAATAGATTGTCTCAGAGGAAAAAGGAAATGAAGAAACCTCAGTTTTGTTGTTAGATCCAGTCTCTGTTCACCTTCTCCCTTATATTTTCACTGGAATGTGGTAAGTTAAGCACTACAGGTAGTGCTCAACATACAACAGTTCACTTAGTGACCATTCGAAGTCACAATAGCACTGAAAAAAGTGACATGACAATTTTTCACACTTAGGAGCATTGCAGTATCCCCGTGGTCATGTGATGAAAATTCGGCCGCTTGACAACTGGCTCATATTAATGATGGTTGCAGTTTCCCGGGGTCATGTGATCACCTTTTGCAAACTTCTGACAGGCAAAGTCAATGGGGAAACCAGATTCACTTAACAACCACGGTACTAACTTAACAAGTTCAGTCATTCTCTTAACAACTGTGGCAAGAAAGGTTGTAAAATGGGGCAAAACTCATTTAACTATTGTGTTGCTGAGCAGCAGAAATTTTGGCCTCAATGGTGGTTATAAGTCAAGGATTACCCATCTTTAAGCATGTAGAACTCCACCCTGCCAGTTGTATCCTCACAACAATCCTGCAAGGTAGTCTCTCTCTTTTTTACAATGTATCCCTTTCTTCGTACCTAACTCAAGGTAATGAGCATGTCAATACTCCTTCCTTCTCCTATTATCCCACAACAACATAGACTATGAGGCAGTGGTGGGTTCTGGATCCTGTGGCAACCGGTACGCTGCAACAGGGCCCGGCGTCTACCACGGACACGCACCCTGCACACGCATGCGCACCCACTGCCCGCGATTCTCCAGCTGCTCGGTGGAGCATCACGCAGGCACCATACGCTCTATGCGCATGCACAAATGCCCCAGTCGGCTTAAACAGAGGTAAGGAAAGCAGACAGGCAGGTGGACCCTCCAGAGCACCGTATCGGAACGGTACCTGGTGCTCCCAGCAGGCGCCAATACGCCAATACAGGAGCATACTAGTCGTAACCCACCACTGCTATGAGGTGAGCTGGGCTGACAGTGTATCACTGGTTTAATGTTGCCCAGTGGTTTTGCTTGCCTAAGGCAGTACTAGAACTCACAAATCTCTTGGTTTCTGGAACACCACTTTAACCACTTGACCAGGAGTGTAAAACTCAAGGCCCTGGGGCCACATCTGGCCCGCAGGGTGCTTAGATCTGGTCCGCAGGGCTGCCCTAGAAACAGCAAAGGACTGGCCCATGGTGCCTCTGCCATCAAAAATGGAGCTCGGGAGCCTGTTTTCACTGGCAGAGTGCTCAGGCCACTACAGACGCCCCCAACATGAATGATGTCAAGCTGACCACACTCACCCTGGCCATGCCCACCCCAGCCCCCCGAGGTCAAACACAACCCTGATGTGGCCCTCAATGAAATCGAGTTTGACACCCCCTGCACTAGACAAACTGAGCAATGGGCTAATCTAATGGGACCTCACGAGATTTTTCCTGGTTCTCGTCCACCACAACTGATCCCACACCCCAGAAGCTGGCCTGAGGAGCATTTTATAGGGTGATTTTCAGTTCTACTGAATAGGAAAATCCGCAGGTTGTGCTCCACAGTCAAGATGGCATCAACACAAACCCAAAATAGGTAGAGCTTTGAAGTGAACTTTGCAGGCACTGCCTTTTTTTTTTAACCACAACTTGAGGACGCTTTGTTCACTTCTACAGAACATGAACAAGTGGAGAGAGGCAAATGCATGCATGATGCCTCAATTATTCAGGGCTTTAGACTTTTCATTATAATGGCTCTGTTCAAGTTACTGCTATATATGTATTCCTGGAATGAATGAAGCAATGCTTCTAAATTATGTTGTTTTAATTTCTAAGACCACTAAAAATGATTAAGGACTGTTTGCGGATCATCGCATAAACCATGTGTGCGTCCCTCTTTGCATGGATGCACACGAACCCATGCTACAACTTAAAGCACAGCTATTGTAATATTTATAACCATAACCTTGCCTTTAACTGATAAATAATGTTTAGGGCAAAATTAAAGGATTGAATTAAGTTATGAAAATCACCAGAATGTAGTCAGCCTGTGGTTAAGATTCAAAATTGTTTGCTACCGGTTCTATGGGCGTGGCTTAGTGGGCGTGGCATTTCTTGGTGGGCGTGGCAGGGGAAGGATACTGTAAAATCCCCATTCCCTCCTGATTAGCTGGGACTCTGAGCAACAGTTTGACTACCTCTGGTCTATTTCATCCATGACTCTAAAAATATTGTTCCTTAAGGTAAAGGTAAAGATTTCCCCTGTCCAGTCATGTCCGACTCTAGGGGGCAGCATTCATCTCCCAAGGGGGTCAGCATTGTCCAAAGATGTTTCCATAGTCATGTGGCCAGCATGATTGTATGCTGTTACCTTCCCAGCGAATTGGTACCTATTTATCTACTTGCATTTGCGTGCTTTTGAACTGCTAGGTGGGCAGAAGCTGAGGCAAAGAAGGGAGCTCACCCCATAGTGTGGCACTTGGGTCTTAAACCCAGACTGTCAGCTTTGCAACTGACAAGCTCAGGGTCTTTAACCACTGAGCCATTGGGGAGCCTCCCCATCTTTCTTCTTTAATTAATATATTTCTTTTGCAAGTCAGAAGTGGTGTAACCCATTTCAATGCCTTTCCTTCACTTTATACAGCAGTCTTCTGTCTTCCAAAGGGACTTGCTCAATAGGTACAAAATAAATTAAAATCACTTCTACTTCAGAAGCAAAATCAACAATGCTCCAGTCTCCATTTGTATGGCTTTGAACAGATTCAAAAACACTGCTGGCAATGCAGCTATCAGGTTGAATCATTCTTTATACGCTTGGTGGCAATGTCACAAAACCTCGACCATTCTGGAAAATGATTTACCACAGAATGAAACAATGGTAAATATCAACTTTCCCATTTCTTTTGTGCCAGCTCTTTTTCCACTGAACATTAAGAGGCTTAGATTCCTACAAAGTTATACAGAGTTGGAACTATATCTTGACAGCTGCTAGAATACTTTGCTTCTAACTTGAAATTACATACAATTCCTTTTTAGAAGGACAACAGAGTAACTTCAAAAGTTGGCACTGTTGACAAAAAAAAAACAAAAAAAAACCTTTTTGTGTTTGACAGTGAAGTTAATTGCCCTGGAAACCATTTATAGAATATAAATCCTGCACATGGAATTACACCATATACAAAATTCAGGTTTCTCTCAACATAACTATGCAGTATTAGATTTTGTTTGATGCATTATAAGGACATAGTAGATTAGATTGGATCAATTGCTATTGTTTATTCCGATTGACAGTTTTGACCATATATTGGCTGCCTTTGGTATGACTCAGTTGATTTTAACAAGTGCAAAATTGATTTTAAAAAATCACCCTTATGTGAAACATTAACCTAATTTGAAAATTCCTATTCAATTTTATGCAGCTTATAAACCTCTTTTTTGTGTTTCTTCCTTGTTCCTTTTTCTTTTTCTCCTGGTTGCTAAATTCAATTCAATTATTAAATCAAGATTAAATTAAATTAAATTAAATTACTGGCACGATCCATCTCAGACATTTTACCTGTCTGGCCATCAGCTCCCCAACCACAAGAATAGACATCTCCTTTCTCCGTCCGGAAGAGGCTATGGTCCTGCCCACAGGCAACCTTTAGGCAAAATAAAAAATAAAGATTTATTCAAAAATTTAGGATTTAAACGCTAAGCTTGCTGCTCAAACAAATGCTCCATTTTGAGTCAAAGTTAAATAGGTATGATGAGGAAACCAGGCAGAGGTGGGTTGCAAATCCCAGCGCTATCGGTTCGCTCGTGCTCTCATGTGCAGAAGCGTCCAGAAGCGGATAGGTGGAGCCTCCCGCCGCAGCCACTAACCAGGAGCAACCCACCTCTGAAACCAGGATTAAAACAACCTTCTGTAACCAGGTGTTTCTATTATAACTTGGCATTTACAGGTGGTCCTCAATTTACAACCAGCTGCTTAGCGGCTACTTGAAATTATGACAAACCTCCCCAGAGCTACTTACAACTTGGATTCAAAGTTTCGACAGACAGCGCCCCTGGCAGTCACATGATCACATTTTGGGGGCTCAGTGAACAGCCCACTTTTAAGGCTTCTGCAGCATCATATGGTCACTTCTTTGCTGGAAACTAGCATTTAGTTCCTATTACTATTCACTTAACAACCGGCCGTTCACTTTATGACTCCAGGGTTCGCTTAATGACTGCTGCCAAAAAGGTTGTAAAATCAAGGCAGAGTCATGTGATGAACTGCTAAATGGCCATCATGACTTAAAACTGTAATTCCGGGTTCAATTATAGTGGTAAGTTGAGGACTACCTGTAGTTCGCGAACATTATTGTGGAATTATTAAAATTTAAAAGATCTTCTGTGAGAACCAGAATCATATATGACTGGAGTGGCAAAGGGACCTAAGGGGGTGGGGGGTGGGGGAGGGAAATAAATCAATGAAACCCAGACTTCTGAGACTAAAAGAAATAAGAAAACAGTTGTGGGGTTGCTATTTTTTACTGGCTCTGTTTCAGGGGTGGGTTCCTGCCAGTTCTAAACTCTTCTATAGAAGAGGTTCCACAAATCTACAGGGCTGTTTAGAACTGGTTCCAGCTCCCTCCCCCCGCCCGTCCGCACATCATCAAGATGAAGAACGAGAGGAGGAATTCTGGGAGTTGAAGTCCACAAGTCTTAAAGCTGTCAAGTTACAAGACCCTTGCACCCATAACCCTTTAGGGAAAAAAAACCCAGGGGTGTTCAAACTTGACAGCTTTAAGACTTGTGGACTTCAACTCCCAGAATTCCTCCTCTCGTTCTTCATCTTGATGATGTGCGGACGGGCGGGGGGAGGGAGCTGGAACCGGTTCTAAATGGCACTGTAGATTTGTGGAACCTCTTCTACAGAAGAGGTTAGAACTGGCAGGAACCCACCCCTGCTGGTTAGGTTTGCCATCTTGA